ATGGGGATCGGAGAGTATATATATCAATTAATGTGTCTAAGGCCTATTATTTTTACCGATTTTTTAAAATGAAATTTGGCCATTAGTATATAACAAAAATTATAAGAGTTAGATATATCACATAGGATAATTCACTTGACGTTTGTTTGACGAGGTTGATAAACCAGAAGCTTCAAGAAAAATTTCAAAAGCTCCATGAAATGCATGCCAATTTCCACTAAGTTTCCTATTAAAACCAATACATCTGATTTATTGAATTCCACGGAACAAATAAAAACAACACAATTCAAATATCAAACTAATTTATTAAAATTTATTCGAAATTAGCATTGCCCAAATTGGTAAAATTTTAATACATAAGTACGATCGTTCCCGACTGCGCCATCTTAGAAGCGGGGGCATGAACAGATAAAAACACAAGACGTGTGTTTTATGAAGGTGGTCGGCAGACTGACTGTTGTGTATTTATTAATATTATTACAGCCTGAAGTAATCGACAAACCGATAAGATGACAATAATTAATAATAGTAATAATAATAAAAATAATTACAATAAATGTGATATGTAACAGAGTTGTTATACCCAAATCATTGGGTGCAAGTTTTATAACAAAATTGCATGAGACTCACTTAGATATATCGGAAATAGTAGCAAAGACGTAGAGTTTATTTTATTTGTCAAGAATGAAATCAGCATTTAAAAATTATATCCTAATCTGTTCTGTATGTCAAAGGTTCAGCAGAAGATAACCTAAAGTGCCTGTTAACTCACTATATTTCAAGCATACCGTTTAATAAAATAACAATGGATCTAGCCGATTATACTAACCAAACATTTTTAATTATAATATATGAATTTTACTCGTGATGATTAGAAGTGTGTAAGCTGTCTGATAAAGCCTTTAATAGCTTTAGTAAATTTGGCATTTCACAGTATATAGTGTCAGATAATGTGTATAGTTCAATAAGTTGTAGTTTATTTTAGTATTAAAAATATAATAGAACAAATACAAAATTGTCCGTATTATTTTAATAGATATTATATAATCGGGGTCACATTTATTCAGGGGGGGGGGAAATGTCCGTAAAAACAAAGGTATTATAATATTGGGTAAAAATAGGAGTATTTTTTATTATCTGACAATAAGTAATAATAAAATAAAACGAAGAGTTTAACTTAAATTATAACGCAACCGGCGACGATAGGCTAACGTAAGCATGGTTTACACGCATAAGGTAATGGATGGGGAAGGCAGTCGCTTTTTCAAGAAGCCCGTATATAAATACAACAAAGCCGTGAGGTGGTGGGGAATAGAGTCACTTTATCACGGAGCGCATGTGGATACGATAGGCCGTGAAGTGGAAGTAAATGTTTACTCGAGGCGTTCGTTGTGGTAGCGATGTCCGTGGACGGTGTGGGCGGCTGCTGGATGGCGGCGTGCTGTAGTAGCTGGTTGGCGGTGTACGGTTGCTGCTAAGACTTTGAGACTTGGGGCTCGGTCAGCTGCGGCTAGAACACCGATGATCAGTCGGTCGGTAAATGTAACATCACTCGGATTTCGTGTGGCGGCGGCCGATTTGTGTGGCGAAAGCCTTTTTTGGGACTCGTGACGTCGGTTACGCCGCTACAGTATTCTTGTTTGTTGGGTGGTATCTTTGGGGTTGTACGGCGAGTGTTTTATTGTGTTGCCAAATATGTAACTAGGTTGTTACAAGAGCCTCGGCAATAGTGTTTTCTATGTCAAAAACTACTATTTCTATTTTCAACGACACAAGGCGATAATAACCTCGATTTTAATTTTGAAAAAGTATTCGGATTGCCCATAACATGTACGAAAAAACGGCCGAGCTAAAATTTTTATTTTTATTATTTGAAATGCAATAAATGTAGTCTCTATTTTCAAAAGTTTGCAAAATTTCAAACTTAATTATTTAATCAATTAAAAACAATTTTAAAAATCTGCCTAGGCCGATATCTCGTACATGTTAGTGAAGAATTAGAATGTTTTGTCAGAATTCAAATCGAAGTAATCGTTGCAGCGTTTTATTGGAATTAGAATCGTCGATTTAAGTGAAAAATAAACATTTTTCATAATAATAAAATAATTGTCATCTAACATGTGCATGCGAGTGCGTTTAAGACCCCCGTGCATGTAATGAACAACAAATAAATATTTTATTAATTATAACATATTTAAACATTGATTATTTAGTACTAACTTCAATTGACTAAAAACTATTTAAGAATAAACTATAATATTAATAATACTTTAGTAATTTTTATTTATCTGAAATTAATATTTTAAAAAATTTGTTTTGTCTGATTAGTATACATATATTTTTATATTTTATTTTATTATTTTTAATATGTATTGTAAATGATTCTACATTCAACAAAAGCTCTACTTATAGCTGCATGCACAATTTTATTTTACAGAAATTTCAATACAAAATTAATTTCTGAGCACCTCATAGAAGTTACGTAAACCAATTGTTTATAAAGTATTATATGTTCTAGGCATATAGTCACATAAGGCATTTTACCTGGGCAAATAGTCAAATAGTTTAATTTGTATACAATTTCACTATCCTCTATAAAAGTAAAGTAAATAATAAAACATGAGGGACATACTTCGCATGTGGGTGCAGCCACTGTTGTATACGTGGGATATTTGCAAAGTAAGGTATAGCAAGAAATTTAACATATATCTGCAAGCAATAACAAATCATTGCTAACGAAAAAACGATTCTGAGCGGAATTTAGTTGATAGTGTTGCTTTGTCAACAATGTATATTTTCATATTATGGTAAAATGATTATAGCAATGTGCATTTATATGACAACAATGGTTGTTTAAGAAATATTTAAAATACCAAAATCTTAATTAAGTTTTTAAAACTTTCTTAAGTAACTGAGATATGTAAAGGCGTAGGCGTAACTAGACTTCATCCGCAGCGGCAGCCTAGTTAATGACTAGCACCACTTAATGAACAAAAAAAAAATTCCCTTTAAATAAGGGAAAAGGTTAGTGCCCCCCCCCCCAATTAAATATTTATATAATTTTAAAAAGTCTGTATTATCTATTTACAATTAAAATGTTCAATATTTTCAGTACTTTTAAATTTAACTACAAAAATATTATTTAAGCCTGAATTACACCGCCATATAGTTAAGTATAAGTAATTGAAAAAATATATGATGTGTTTGTACATAGAATAACAAAAATGATGAACTGATAGAGAATAATATTTTGTTATAAACAATGCATAAGAATTTTTCTTTTTGATAAACGTTGTAAACCACTAGATATACAATTTGGTCGATAGGCGCCTATTAAAAATTACCAGAGCAGTCCAGGTACTCTAGGTTGCTACCGTAGACCCGCCTATTTGTAAGGGTGGTTACACACATACATTTTGGCTTATCAATCATTTAGATACAATCTTGTTGTACAATCATGCATAATTATTTCCCTTTTTCACCACATGGTACATGCATGCTTGAAAAGCAAGGTCGGTTTGAGTTTCAAACATGTCGAGTTCGGACAATGACGCGCTCGCTGTACCAACGTGACTTGTACAAGTATACAGATGAAAATTTAATCAATCATCAATTCACTTGTACAATCACAATGTCTGCACAAAATAACTATCATACACAGTCACATAGAGGCTCAAACATGCTTCTGCAAAAAGAATTCTATCCATCTGCGTGATTGATAAGCTTACAGTTACGTGTGTAGCCACCTTAATGCCTTCTATATAAAAAATAATAATTTAACTCATAGTAGAGTAATCTTTATTGTGAGTTAAATGGTAATTTTACATTTTTTATAAAATATAATGGGCATAAATGTATAATATAAAAATAAAAATAGCTGATACTGGCAACGGCTACTATTATAAGTGGGATGTTGGGAAGGTAGGATATAGAGAGGAAATTAATTTATATCTGTACCTACCCAATGATTAATCATTGCTATCGAAAAACGATACTGAACAGAGCTCGGTCAATATAATATTTATTTTCAATAAGTTGCGTTTCCATGAAAACAACGATTATTTAAAAAAAAATAAATGATTTAGAATAATAAAAAGTAAATAACAAAAAATAAATAAAAACAATTGCACATGACAGTAGTATTAATTTGTAGGTTCAATCACGCAGCAAAATGCCCCATTTACACAATTTCCCTGTGATTTTCAATCACGAATTTAGCCTCTCTAATTTTTCAAAAAATCATATTGCAGGAAATCCCTGCATAAATTGTCACGATTACCCCGCATAATTTTAGCCTCTTCATTCGTATAACATTTTTTTTTTTTATTTTCAAATATGGTATTATGTTATTTGGCATTCGTCAAGTTTATAAAAAGTAGAAATAAAGCAGCAGTCAAATATCGATAATTGATTGAGCTTTATTTATGTTGTCCCCTTCATCGACTGTCTCATTAACTTGGAGGATATTAACTTGTGTTTTTAAAACAAATTGTTTAGTTAACCGATAACTGTTGTACATGCCAGTTGTGCTAGTATCATTAATTTTTACATTATGAATTTAACAAAATACTCAGATAATTTTCCTAAATTATTATACATCATTTAGAATAGTCAGAATCCGAAATATGTTGAGACAACCACATTTGCGTCAAGACTAAGAACTTTTGATTCATTCGCTTTGAAACATCTAAATAAATTTTCATTGTGTGAAGCTGGTTTCAAATTCCTAGGTGCAAGAGATTGTTTTAATTGCGGGCTAATTCTACACGAATGGACAATTGCAGACGATCCTTGGAAAGAACATGCACGCCATTCGCCGAATTGCACGTTTGTGTTACTTAAAAAAGACAACCAATTTATAGAATCTGCAATTCATGAAAAAAAAAAAAAACGAATGTAATTGTGCTTATAGCTGCATTGGACATGATACTGTAGTTTAATTTGTAACTGCGTTATAATATTAATAAAGTGTGTTACTTAAATAAATATTTATACTGTTTTTATTTTGTGTGGTTTGATGGCTTAGCGGGATAAGACGCATGATTAAAAATCATAGAGTCGTAGGCTTTCTTGAAGTCCACAAATAATATATACACGTCTTTATTGAACTCCCACATTTTTTGAAGGGTCTGTCTAATCACAAATATTTGGTCTGTTGTTGACCTGTTTGGTCTGAAACCTCCTTGGTAATCCCCTATTATTTCTTCGGCAATCGGCTTTATTCTGTCTAATAGGCAATATGCAAGAATTTTATAGGTTACGTTTAATAATGCAATTCCCCTATAATTGTTGAATATCTGGGGGTCGTTATTTTTGTGAATAGGGCACACTAGCGTAGTATTCCACTCCTCCGGGAGTCTTTCCTCCTGCCAAACAATTTCAATAATACTATATATTCTTGATACTGTTTCCTCATCTAATTTTTTTAATATTTCTCCCTGAATCCCATCTTCTCCGGGAGATTTTTGGTTTTTTAACCTTAATATTTGTTGNTCTGGATTTTCGCAGTTGAGCAGTTGGCCAAAATATTGTCTCCATTTTTCCAACATATCTTCCTGTCCTGTTGTCAGTGAAACATCTTCATTTTTCAAGAACTTGTTATGTTTTCTGAATCCTCCTCTTATACTGTTTATTTTTTGGTACAACTGTCTCGTTCTATTCATTCTAGAATCTACTTCTGCTTCTTCCAATAATTTCCGAGTATATTTTCGTTGTTCATTTCTGAATACACTACTTGCACTCTTCTGACATACTTTATACGCAATTTCTTTTTCTATATTATGTTGGTCATTAAGCCACTGGTTTCTAGCTTCTTTTCTCCGATTTAGAGCATCTTCACACATGTCGTTAAACCATGGTTTTCTTACAGCTTTTACTTTTCCGATTTCTGACTCTGTCACAATCTTTATAGTATCTTTAATTTTTTTCCATTTTACATCAATTGAGTCATTTATACCTGCATCTATCTTTCTGACTTTTTCCGATATATGATACTTGAATCTTTCACATGTATTCACATTGTTTAGTTTAGCTGTGTCATATTTGTCTACCACTATTCCTTTTTTCCGAGTAACCTTTTTTATTTTGACTTTCATTTTTCCTTTCACCAGATAGTGATACTGAACGACTATTAACATCACGTTTATAAAATATTTAAGTAACAGTTTTATGCATAGCTACAGCCAGTTTCTATTTTGATACAGTTGTAGCCAACATACTAAAAAATCATGTAAGTTTTCTTAATTTACGGAAAATATATGTTGGAACCGTTGCCATATTCAAATTTCGAATGGTACGATGGCTTAGCAATAAATAAAATGAAAGTTTGAGACGATGATGAATACGGATATATATTAGCAGTTGATACAGATTATCCTTAAAATCTTCATAAAATACTTAACGAATTTCCTTTTTTACCCCATAATTCATGTCCACCGAATTCCAAAATCCCAAAATTTTTAACAACATTAACTCTCAAACAAAACTACATTGTATACCATCGCAATTTAAAACAGGCCATCGCTAATGGTATTAATATCTTAAAAGTTCATAGAACCATCCGTTTCAGACAGTCAAAATGGATGACGCCATATGTCGAATTATGTACTCGCATGAAGGTTTAAGCAAAAAATGAATTTGAACGAAATTATTGGAAGTTAAAAGTGAATAGTGTCTTTGGTAAATGTATGGAGAATGCCATAAAGCGAATTTCTATACCACTCGTTGGTAATGAAAAAAAGGCGAAAAGATTAATGTCGAAACCGACATTTAAAGATAGAACAATATATTCTAAAGATTTAATGGCTGTTCATATGAATAACGAAGAAATAAAATTCGATAAACCTATTTATGTAGGATTCGCTATTTTAGATATATCTAAAATATTTATGTATAATTTTCATTACGATGTCATGAAGAAGACATACGGTAGTAAATTGAATACGGTATATTCCAATACTGATTTTTTGGTGTATGAAATTAGAAAAAATAACTTTTTTGATGATTTAAAATATAAATTATTAACACATTTCGAAACATCTAATTATCCGAAAATTCATTATTGTTTTGATGACTGTAGGAAAAATCAACCAGGTTTTTTTAAAGATGAGATGAAAAGTGAGATATTAACCGAATTTCTTGCATTACGTCCTACACTTTATACATACAAGTGTTCTAAAACTGAATTTGAAAAAGCAAAGGGTGCGAAAAAATATGTGATTGATAAGCATATGCGATTTGATGATTATAAAAACATTTTAAATGCATACATAAATAATAGTTTAGATATATCTAATAAAGCTACCCGTAACATGAATTTGATTCAATCGAAAAATCATTTGGTTTATTTAAAAACAGTCAGCAAACTCGTGCTCAGTGCTAATGATGATAAGAGAGTTATTATGAGCGATGGTATTAATACGTTAGCGTATGGTCATTATAAATTAAAACGTTTACAAAAATAATATTATAATCAGATTTTATTTTATCATCATTATTTAACATTTGAAATAATTCTGTTTTGTAATATTTCACAATAGTACAATAATAAGTTGAAATTATTTTACGTCATTTTTCTCAATCCATGAATTGTGACTGCTGTCGAAACCCATCCACTTGACGTATATTTTATTCTTGTTTCTTTTCAAAATACGTTCGATAAGAAAGGTGTTCGGAAAATTGGTTTTTATAATTTCCTGTTCGTAAAAACATCCTAAAATTGTATTATCTAAATCGTCTTTTAGTAGGTAAGTTACCGGATTTGTATTTAAAACCTTCGATATTGTAAATTTTTCTGTAGTCCATACATTAGGTGTATACTAGGGTGACCATACGTCCCGTATTATACGGGATTGTCCCGTATTTCAACTTTGTGTCCCGTTTACCCGATAAAAGTAATACGGGACGCATTTTGTCCCGTTTTTCCAAGTCCGTCCCGTATTAATCCCGTTTTTTTCGGGATTAACCAAAAAAATCTAAAAA